ACTACGTCGATGTCTGCATAGAGAGAACTGAGCTCCCTATTTTTTCTTTTCCTCCAGACATCGCCCTCCTTTACTGGACCATAAATCCTTCTGAGGACTCTTCGCTCAAACACACTCAGCTTCATCTCATCGTTTTTGGTCATCGTCCAAGCCTCTGAGCCATATGTCAAAACAGGCCGAACAAGGGTCTTGTATATGATCAGCTTGGTCTTCTTTGAGAGGTACCTACTTCTTAAGTGTCGGCCAAGTCCATAGACACATCTATTGGCAGCCGTGATCCTTCTTTGTATTTCTTGAGCCATGTCATTTTTGCTACTAATTTCAGACCCAAGGTATATAAAACTTTTCACTCTCTCCAACTTAAAAGAACCTACCTCAAATGGAGAGTTCAGATCCACCTCACCACCAACTCTCATATACTTAGTTTTCCTCTCGTTGACTTCTAGACCAAGTGGTCTTGCAGCTGCTTCAAGGCCTATAAACGCTTCTCTGAGAGCCTGTTCAGACCTACCTATTATGTCAATATCATCAGCAAAACCAAGAAGCTGTGTCAGGCGATTGAAGATTATATCGTTGATCTGAATACCGGAGTCTCTTACAGCTTTCTCCTCTGCCAAGTTGAACAATAGACAGGCGAGGGCATCCCCTTGCCTAACCCCACTGCTCACTTTAAACTCTTCGGAGTCGTCAGAACCGACGCGTATTCTACATCTCGAGCTGTCCATGGTCATCTTGATTAGGCGTACGAGCTTCTGAGGGATGCTTAGCTCCTCCAAGGCACAGTATAGTTGCGTTCTATCAACGCTGTCGTATGCTGCTTTAAAGTCCAAGAATAAATGGTGGGTGACTACCTTATGCTCCATAGTCTTTTCTAGGATCATCCTCAGAGAGAACAGTTGATCAGTGGTTGAGCGTCCTCTTCGAAATCCAGCCTGATATTTTCCCAGTTTCTTTTCAGAATACGGGAGGATCCTCTCAAAAAGAATGTTAGAGAGCAGTTTATAAGCACACGAAAGGAGTGAGATTCCTCGATAGTTAGCGCATTTATTTATTAGTTACACATATTCCTGACTCACAATAAATCATAGAGCAAATATGATATCAAGTAGAATAAATGATAGCAGAAAAGAAAAATAAGAATACTTGAAGGAAGGTAGTAGACTGTTCTATATATCATGGGTGATAAATATTCAGGACGCAGCTTTTTTTAAAATTTTTTATTTTTGCCAACGTTTCAACCCAAACATGTGGGTCATCTCTAGGGCTGAAAATGTTTTTTAAAATTACAATGAGAGATATAATAGTATACGACCGCTAATTATAAATAATAAACTATAGTGATTGATGGTACATGAATCTTAACTAATGTTGCAAAACACATATTAAAATTAAATATGTAAATAGTTATACAAACTAAAACTAAAAAAAAAAAATAATAATGTATATAATCCATTTATACAAATTTGTAATATTTTCTCTTACTAACCGTGGTTTGAGCACTGAGGGTGTTCAAGTACTGACACATTTGGTAAGTAACCAAAAAGGTCCAGGGGTGGAGGATTTCCAAGTTGTCTACTTACTTACCAAATGTGTCAGTACTTGAACACCCTCAGTGCTCAAACCATGGTTAGTAAGAGAAAATATTACAAATTTGTATAAATGGATTATATACATTATTTGTTATATTTTTTTAGTTTTAGTTTGTATAACTATTTACATATTTAATTTTAATATGTGTATTGCAATATTAGTTAAGATTCATGTACCATCAATCACTATAGTTTATTATTTATAATTAGCGGTCGTATACTATTATATCTCTGATTGTAATTAAAAAAAAAAAACATTTTCAGCCCTGAAGATGACCCACATGTTTGAATTGAAAAGTTGGCACAAATAAAAAAAAAATTGTATAATGACTGCGTCCTAAATATTTATCACCCAAAAATAAGAATAGTAATAAAAAAAAAAAAAACATAAAAAAAACAGTAACACGAAAATAAGATAACATAATAATAATCTACTGCCATAATCAATATAATCCGCCTAGAAGACTGCTGAGGCACTGGCCAAGAGACTTATTGCATTCATTTTTAGCTGAAAATGTTTTAGCAATTTACCTATGGAGACTGTCCTTCCTATCATATTTAATGTATACAAATTATAATATATTCAATTATTTACCACAGATATTTTCAAGTATATTCAAAAGTTCTCAAAGAAAATTTTGCCTACTTTACGATGGTGTGCTTAGAATTTAATTATCTTGAATAGTTTTTGAGAAATTCCTTCTGACTCTATAAAAAACGCGATCACGTCAATTAAAAACATAAAATTAGCCTTAACTCCTTTTCTTTTCGAAATCGGCATAGACCTTATATGTATAGACTTTCCTCTAGCCTACAGTTGATCAACACATAAGAACTATTTATAAACGATTTAACAATAATTTACACGGACACATTAACATACTGATCAGAGATATGGCTTCAGCTAACATGCCCATCGATACGAGGAGACTAAAAAGGCGCTGGATGAGAGACCTCCTTCCTTAACATACCATAGTAATTCAGTCAAGCAAGGAAAGAGGAACTGCTGGGTGCTATCCTTCCTCATTCTTGACATGTCAGTATCGTTACTTCAATCATACCATCTGCTGATTGCCAACAGTCTTTGAGAGTGGTACAGATTGATATTCAAATAAAAAAAAAAAATAAAAATAGAAATATGAACGTTATGTAACAAACTAATTTCCAAACACGTAAAAACAGTAAATAATTATCTATTTGTATATAATCATCTACTACCAATAATAATAGATTACGTATGGCGAGGTCGTTCGAACCTCTTAACGATCCGAAAATGTAAACTTAATAAAAAACAAAACAAATACGATTGGTCAGTTTCGGAACCAAGGCCGGATGATACCTCTTCACTCATTGGTTATTCAAGGGTAATAGCTACCCATTATGTTTGTATATGAGGAAATAACAAACATAATTAGCAAAACTTGCGTATTAACAAGATAAATCAATAAGATAGTCTAAGTTTGGCAAGATGATGTTATCTACAATTTGGCATTAGTAAACAATAGAGGACTCTAAATCTGGTGTGGTATTGATCGTTACGTGGAAGCTTGCAGATGGATTCCACATGCCCATCTTAACCTCCTGGCCTTCATATCATGGGATATTGATTGGTCGAAATTTATAATGTACACGTTACCTTAATTTTTTTATCCATGATATTTTCTTTTCTGTAGCCATTCGTTCAGTAGCGAATCCATGAGAGTAAAAAAATGAAGAAATTCTAACATCCTAAAATAGTTATAAACTAAAATAACTAATGGTAAAAATAAATAAGGCTGTTTTAAATATACCAGTACTCATGAACTAAATCAATGTACGATCAATGTTCAGTTGTGCCATCACCTGACACACTTTTTCACTTCCGCTGGCTTTAGTACCAATGATGCGGTTGAGAGAGTAGCGCAGGGTTCTCCTGGAGTCCAGCTTTTCCCTCCATAGTTGGAGGGACAAGCCTTCCTCGGAGTTCTCTCGGCTGATTGTAAATAGTGTATATAGGTATGCATGTGTTTTTTGCTTATTGTTTTTAGTTATTTTAGGTTATTTTATTTTATTTATTGTATATACATTTTGATTGTTATTTTGTTTCTATTTATTTTATATTTTTTGTACATATAGTGTGAATGTCGTCCTACCTCACTATAACCAATGTCCAAGAGACAGATTGTTGTAATACTGAATAAATAAATAAATAAAAAAAAACTCATGAACAACTGTGAATGTATTATTAGTCAATGGGTAGAGAATTTTGTTTTTTAAATGGCTCTACTTGAGAGAAATCTACTATTGCAGATATATAGTAAATTTAATTACCTTGTCTTCGGTTACGACGATCATAGGTGTGGGGTGGCCGAATCGGCTAACGTGTGTGCACAGCACCGCGAGTTGACCGGCAACCAGATAATCAAGTGTTGAGATTGAAAAAAAACTAAGAGTTCGCGTATCGGTGCCAGAGGCGATTTTAAATTCCCTGCCCTCTCACCCTCCGGTCCGGGAAAATCCCTCGTAGCCTAAAAGGCGAGGTAGGGAAAAACAGAAACAAAAGAAAAAAAGTAAAAGAATAAAGAAAGGTTACGACGATCATCATTAAATACTAATAAATACATAGTAATACATTTATTATATATTAATAGTTTTTTTTCTGTTGGCATTACAGAAAATATAGATCTTTTGCCGCCTTAACAAGCCTGCTCCATCTCTACCTGTCTTGGGATATTTCTTTCCGGTTTTCAGCACGTAGCTCTATTGCATCTTTGTTGATTCTATCTATCCATCTGCTTTTTTGCCTTCCAAGTAATCTTTTGCCTTCTATTGAGGAATTCATTGTTACGTAGACGTTTCCAGGTGGATTGTTACGAACTACATGCCCCGCCCATCTTAATCTCAGTGCCTTCATATCATGGGATATTAATTTACCAGTTTCTGTAAGCAGTTCTTTATTGGTCTTTCTTCTCTATGTATTCAAGTCTCACTGCCCGATATTAAAACTGGTTTTATCATATACAAAATTAATTTGAAATTGCTTTATTTTTTTCGGGATTTTAATACCTGAATGAAGGAAAAAATAAAGCACTATTGCTCTCGTTATACACTGGTCTATTTCTGAGATTATTGTGGAGCCAAAGCATTTGTTTTTTTCTACTCTCGGGGACGATTTCTCTTCTATGCAGATCCTATTATTGGGGTGGAATTTTCGGCTTGTTATTATATATTTTGATTTGTTTTCATTTACTTGTAGGCCGATCTGCTCTTTCTCTCTTATCAGTGTCTTAGCGAGTTTCTCAATGCCCTCTTGATTACTACCAAGGACCGCTATATCATCATTTTGGTTAATTTACCCAAATTAATGTAAATGGAAACAACAGTTTAGCCAAATCAAATCATGAAAATTTATAAAATACTAAAACTGTTCAGCATATGTATAAAAAACAATTGAATAATTAATTAAAGTATTAATCACATATTTTAATGTTTAATTAGTCATCAATAATGTTGTTATTAAACGTTAGAAAGAATAATTAAGGAAATTAGAAGGAAAAAAAAACAAAATCTTAAGGTCATACATCTTTACTAACAAGTTATTATGTCGTTGTCCTCAGAAAATTAACAGTTCCTTACGAACCCGTATAGTGAGTGCTTCGATATGGAGTTGTCCAATGCGAGGTATGATACGCTCGGCAACAGGTAAGATGTGTTGAGTTTGCAGGATTATGAGTTATCGTGGTCAAGATATTTTAATAAAAATAATTACCAAACTATATGTAAAATATGTTTCTAATGCCTGATTACAAAACGAAGAAAAAAACGTCTGCCAAGTACGGTCAGGATAGCTTCCTTATCGTTTTCGTTTGTTAAAAAATATCTATATTAAAAGGTCTAAAAATTTTCTAATGAGAATAAAAGCTCAGAAAAAAGCCGTTTTCGGAAATTCAGTAATCTCTCAACACATACGAGCTTGATATCCACATGTTTTGTTTATCAGCAAATACTAAAATGCGAAAAAGTTCCGCATTACATATTTGATAATTCGTAATAAAAAAATAAAAAAATCCAGTGCATACCGAATATGTATCTCGCTACTTTTAGTGCAAATGACATATGCAAAAATTGAGTTTTTTACAGGAGAGCATAAAAACTAATTATTTCTTTATGATTTATGAGTATACGATTTTTTTTTTACAAAGTCAGAGTAAAAATTACTTTAAATTTTCTGAAAATCACACGAAATCTATGTAATGGCAATATGTGTCATGCCAGTAACGTTTGGATTCGACTAAACAATATAGTATAAATTCAATTTTTGAATAAAACCTAAAATTTTATAACACAACAATATTGTAATAACCTAACTCTCACTCCATATGATCAGTGCCTTCCACTTTCAGAGCCTTAATTTTAATTATTAAATGAAATTGAACTTACGGTTTTAGAGATACAGACGTATCATGGAAAACACGTTTGCGCATATATAAGAGAAATTAGTGGACATAATTCAATAAAATTGACATTACGTTATTTTTGCGAAAATACCTACCTTTTATCCAACTTTGAGCAAAATCGAACAAGCTGTTTTTTAAATATCGACATATTTACAAAAAATGCGTTTGCGCGTGCGTAAGCGGAAGTGCTGGTTAGAATCTTGGCTCGTTTGGCCTGTATAACTTCGTTATTTTGACAATTTGGGAGTGTAGGACTTTCTTTTTGACTTTCTGCATAAATTATCTTACGATTCAAGTGGAAAGTAAATGGGTATTTTACGAGTTTTTTTTGGGATATTTTAAGGGTATTTGACGTTTAATTTGGTTTATTTAAAAAAAATAACTGTCTCTCATTGTTAGGAGTTATTTGATAATAATAGGAGGAATTTGATAATCGAATAAATGAGAAAAATGCTTATCCAGCTCGAAAATGAATCTTCGGAAATAATAGTCAAAAGGTATACTTATCATATATCGTTGGAAAGCGGAGAATTTCAGAAAAAAATATATTAAAAAAATAAAGTTGTAGAAGGTAACGGAAACTAAAGAATAAAATATAAATAATAATTTCTGAAAGCTAACATTATTTAACATGTTTCCAAGGAAATTAAATCAAATTTGTTTACTAAATGTAAACTTCTAAAAAAATTTTAAAGTTTGAAAAAGTATTTAAAATTCTCCACCGAATCAAGACAATGACATGGTTTAAAATACTATTTCATTGCGCATGTTTGAAAAAAGAAGTGAAGTATAAAAATATTTCATGGATATGTTTATAACCTTAAATATATTTACTATAGTTTGATAACTCCAGATCTAATATTATATTAAATAATTAGGTATCTATCGTCCTTTTATTCCGAAAAATCATCATTTAAGCTTTTAGAAAATTTTTTTTTTTATTTGTTTATTTAGAAATATTACATTCTGTCACATCAAGGACATTTATAATAGTGATCAGAGAAAGCACACTCACACTCTATTTACAATTAAAAAAAATAATAAAAATAAATAAATGAATAATACAGAAACTTAATAATAATAAATACAATAAAATAAAATAAAAATAAATACAATAAAATAAAATAAATGTATATAAACAAAAGAACTAACCTAATCATACACACTCGGGCTTGAGTGGAGGATCTGGCCATTGCCAAAACTCCAATAGATGCTTATTTACAAAAGGTCTCTGGGCCACTGCCGCTTCAACCTTCGAGGAGGATTGTAAGGATGGGTGGTGCTGGATAGAGATTGTGCAAGGGGATTTGGATGATAGGTAAGGTTTTGGTGAAATTTGGAGAATTTTTCTGGAATAAGGTCTAGGACAAATGGGATATTAAGGTCATGGTGTAGGATTTTGTTATTTACATAGAACGGAGCATCAACTATTGTTCGAAGGACTTTAGATTGAAAGGATTGAATACGTTTGATGTTAGAAGCTTTTGCTGTCCCCCACAGTTCAAGTCCGTATGTCCATATAGGTTTCAGTATTGTCTTGTAGATAAGTAATTTGTTTTCAATAGAAAGTTTGGATTTTCTGTTTAGTAGTCTGTATAGCTGGCCGTATCGTCGGTTGAGTTCTTGTCTTTTGAGTCTAGTATGTGGGTTCCACGTTAGTCTTCGGTCTAAATGAAAGCCAAGATACCGGACTGTGTCTGAGTAAGGAAGCTGGATGGAATTAAAGTGTACTGGTGGACAGGAACTGCGTCGGAGTGTAAAGGTAATATGTTGGCATTTAGATTCATTAACTTTAATGCGCCAGTTATTACACCAGTGCTCAATCAAGGTGAGGTGGTTTTGGAGATTTAAGGATGCTATGTTGGGATCAGAGTTGGATGATAAGATTGCGGTGTCGTCAGCGAATGTTGCAAGAAAAGTATCGGGATGAACAGGGATGTCAGCAGTAAAGAGGATGTAAAGCACGGGACCCAAGACGCTGCCTTGGGGAACACCGGCTTTAACGGAGTAGATATTGGAAAATTCTGTTCCACAGCGAACTCGGAAGGAGCGGTCAGAGAGGTAGGATCGGAGGACTAGGTACAAGGACTGAGGTAAATGGATTTTAAGCTTGAAGAGCAGTCCGGAGTGCCATACCCGGTCAAATGCCTGTGCAATGTCCAGAAATGCACCCGAACAGTATTCCTTGTTTTCTAGGGCTGAGGAAATATGATCAACAACTCGGAGTCCTTGTTGAACAGTGGAATGTTGGGAGCGAAAACCAAACTGATGGGAAGGAATATTTTGGGATTCTATAATGGGTAGGATTCGTTTCAAAAGGATCTTTTCAAAAATTTTTGAAAGGATTGGGAGTAGGCTAATTGGTCTATAGGATGTTGAGATATTGGGAGGTTTGCCTGGTTTTTGGAAAAGGATAATAGTGGAGTGTTTCCATAGCAGAGGAAAGTGGGTGGTGCGTAGGATACAGTTGTAGATATATGTAAGGAATATGACTGCTTTGGATGGAAGTTGTCGAAGGATTTGAGGGGTAAGGAGATCATGTCCAGGAGCTTTACGGGGGATTAATTTTTTTAATTGAAATTTCACTTCGGAAGGATGAATAGCTTTTGGGGGCAAGGAAAGTGGGATTGGTGATGTAAGGAATTCTTCTACTGTTACGGTGTGGGCAGGATGGGATTCCGGATGTGAAATAAATGTATTGGATAGGTGAATGGCGAACTCCTCAGCCTTATCTTCGTCAGATGCTGCCCAGGAGCCATCATCTCGTCGGAGGGGATGGGAAATGCGGTGAGGATTTAAGATTTTGGTAGTGGTTTTCCAAAGGGAATTGTCGCGAGAAGAAAGGGAGGATAGGTAGGAGTTGAAGGAATGTGATCTGAAGGTGGCTAATTCCAGTTTTAATTTTTTGCAGTAATAATTATAGGAGCAGCGGTCGGTAGGATGTCGGGTACGTTGCCACAATAATCTGGCACGGCGTTTGGTTTGGATTAGGTCAAGGAGGTGTTGGGGTAGAATGGTCTTTTTAGGAATTCTGGAGGAGTCTTTTGGGAAGGAAGCAGTCCAGGCGGCTTGTTGGATTGTGGTAGTAAAGGAATTTACGGCACTATCAAGGTCATCGGGAGTTTTGAGGGATATGTTAAGATCAATTTTATCGGAGATGATTTGGCGGAAAAGGTCCCAGTTAACTGGGCCCCTAATAAATGACGGTGGAGAAGGTTTGGGAACGGGTTCAAGTGAAACATTAAGGATTAGAGGACTATGGTCAGAGGAAAGTTCATTTAGACGTGTAATGGAACAATTGAGGGGACTTAAGCCGCTGTGGATAAAGAAATCAAGAAGATCAGGATTACGGTTGGGATCTGTAGGCCAGTAGGTAGGAGAGTTGGGGGAAAGGAGGTGAAAATGTTGGGAATTGAGTGCAGACAGCAGGGTTCGGCCACGAGTATTCGTGGTTCTGGAACCCCATTGTTGATGTTTGGCATTTAGGTCTGCACCCAAGATGAAGTGATGTCCTAAGGAGTCGAGGAGAGAACGGAATTGGGCATTGGATATGGATCGGTTAGGAGGGCAATACGCTGATGCAAGGGTAACCGGAAAGGAAAAGGTTTTTATCACGATAGCGGTGGACTGTAGGAAATCATGTGTAGGTAACGGGAGTAGGTGATGGGAGAGGGATTGGTGTACAATGACAGCAGTACCGGCATGTGCTTTTCCGTCAGGGTGGTCAGTACGATATGTCAGGTATTGTGGTATTTTGAAGTGCTGTTTAGTGGTTAGTCGAGTTTCAGTAATTAGTGCCACGTCAATATTTTTGTCAAGTAATAATGTAGTTAGTTCGTTTGTGTGATTTCTAACACCATTCGCATTCCAAAGGAGAATGGATAAAGGTTTATTGGAAGTCATTTAAGGATTTTTCGCGGGAGGGATAAAATGTGATACAAGATTGGTGAGAAGAGATATCAAAGGAGTAACAAGGGATCTGAATTCGGAGAGGAAAGATGTAAGTAAACTGGTGAGATCTGTGGTATTTGAGGGAGGAGGAATGCGGGGAATTTGGTGTTGATAAAACTGTTGATTAGGTGAAGTTTGATTAGGATGTTGAGGGTGGGGTTGAGAATTTTGAGGTATGTGTTGTTGTTGCGGCAGGGTCTCACAATAAGTAACATCATTCTTACCTCCTAATAAGTGTGCAAAAGACACCGTTGGGTCAATTTTTTTTGAAGGTCCTCTTCTTGATGCGTTAGG